AAATGTCCATCAATGAAATGTCCATCTATGAAATGTCCTGTCTATGAAATGTCCATCTATGAAATGTCCATCTATGAAATGTCCTATCTATGAAATGTCTTTCTATGAAATGTCCCAACGCCGCATTTAGTACATCTCTTTATCGATCCATCATGCAAAATCAGTTACAAATTACAAAATTTTTGGCGATATTTTATAAATAAAAGAACGAATAAGACGACACCCATTCCATTGTTTTTTGACAATCTCTGTATCCTTCAAATGTTTGAGTTTACCTAATGGTTCTCCTATCCTCTCTTGGAAGTACTAGAACAGTTTGAAAAACTTGACACCAACCTAAATATTAAAATTTAAAGGTAAAAATTAATCATTGTATGCATGAAAACTTGTACAAAAAAGAGGAGAAATTAAATGAGCGTTTATTCAAGATGTTTTTACCAATCATCTGGCATTCACAGTCATTTAGTAAGCATATAAAACCTTAAATGTCAAAGTCTAACTTTTGTTTTACCTGAAGTAGATAACATACTCTCTAGATTAACTAGTCTATACTGCTCACTCCTGAGATACCCATCCTGAGTACTAATATCAATATCACGCCTCTCCTCTTGCATATCCTTAAATAAAACCGTCTATTTAGTTACCGTGGTAACACAATTAAAGCGGAATAACTATTGCCTTTGTTCATTCTTTTTATTAGAAATGCCACGAAGGGGTTTTCTAATTTGTGCAATTTATTTCTCAAAAGTAAATAGTGAACAGTAAACACTTAAAACTAAAAAATTCTATGGCATTTCTTTTAAAAGAAAGTACTTTGACATAAAATATTCTGCTTTATGTCCTTAACAATATATTGCTTGTCATAGTCTAATTCTTATTCAAAATCTTGATTGGCTTTACCTGGATAAGAGTTAAGATCTTTATCTTGATTTTGTCGAATACATTTCCTTGGTAGTTGAAAACCTGCCGCAACACGTCTAATCCACCGTGGCGGAGAAATGTGTTCTGCGCCTCAGGGAAATTACGCAATATGGCGGAGAGTCCGTAAAGAGCCTTGCCGGATACTTCAGGACTAAAATTATTCAAATGGTCTAAAAATAATCATTGATTGCTTGAAAATCCGTGTGCACTGGGTAAAATATACTCTCAAAATATTAGTAATTTAAAAAACCTAAGATGGAATTTAAAGAATTTGAGCCGCGGTTTAAATCCACCAAAACCCGGTTTAAATTAAGCGTTGGCTTAAATCTTGAAACATTTGATACAATTTTAAGTGGAACCAACCATATTTAAACCGCGGCTTAAATTTAAACCGCCGCTCAAATTCTTTAAATTCGGCCACTGATTAAATAAAAAAATAGCTGTCCTAATTTGTATTAAAAATCATTTATTATTTTATCAAAGAACTTGAAGTTCAAGGGATGTTCAATGAGTTTTGCGAAAACTTTTTTTAAGGTCTTTGGTCTCAGCCCTTAATTTTTTTAAAAAGTTTACTATATTTATACCGGTTCAATTTTCTGACCAGCTAATGTTGATCAGATAATATGTTGGATGCAATTATAGCTTTCTCTCGGATCCCGTTAACGATGCTTGTCGCAGTCTAAATATCTTATCTTTAAACTTTATCTATTTAAGCGTGTTCTAGAGGTTGGGTAACCTTAAAAAGTCAAAGGAGGGTAAAGCCTTTATTGTTCTGAAGGTTTTTATTTTTGTAATCTACATTTTAGCAAACAAATTAGTATCTTTTCCTAGGACCTACTTGGAGCAAATGTTGTCCAAATCTTTGCCATTTTTAAAATCTTGCTTTACAACTTTGTTAACATAACAGATATCAAACTCATCAAAAATTATCAACTGAGAAGCCTTGCAAATTTGGTTTGAGAAACTTCCAATTGTATCGACTGTTTGTGGGGTTTGTGGATTTTTTCTACTAAGACATTTCCTCGTTCTGTCAACACTCTCCATTTCACTTTTCCCCTTTTAGTCCACATGTAGACTATTACCTTGTCCATTTTATTCTCCTCTAATGCATTTTGGATCATTTCGAAGGTGTCTGCTTTATATTTGGAAAGTTTAAGGCATGAAATTTTTGTGTATCGAGCATCCAAAGTGTCTTTTTTCCCTGGTTGTATTGAAAACTTTCTCGTACTGTGACAACGGAGCTAAACAACCTCAGGGAAAGGGCGGATTACATAGAAATAAAAAGTTTGATGAATAAAGTCCGCTGAAAGAAGGCAACCGGGATGGATACAGAGAGCTTTGAAAAAAAAATTCAGAGTACCTGTAAATTTTTTTTCGCAAAACTTATGGAACATACCTCGTTCTATATCTTATACCTGGAGTGTGAAGAAACCATCCTGAGAAGAGTATTGATGAACCCTGCCTCTAGGTATGCTATCTGTACTCTAGGATTACTCTGAGCTGAGCTCCCAATGAGGAAGCCTGCCATCTCCTGGAGGAGGGTAGAGCTAGAGTTAAGACTAGGAACCAGGATCTGTTCTAATCCACCAACTGTCAAGAAATCAACTGCATTATCAACCTGATGAACATAGTACTCAAGGTTTTCAACAATATTGATCTTCTCTTCGTCAGATTTAGATTCCACAAAGTTTTTAATAAGTTTAATCATGGCGTTAACATCACTTTCAACCTTAACCTCGAATTCTTTGAAATCTTTCTTGAGCTCGTCCAGAGATCTAAACTTAGATTTAATAATATCATCTGAACCCGCATCGTTTTTAATATTCTTCAGTGCTTCTTTTAATTCTTGATAATTATAATTAGGTTCTTCTTTCTCCTTTTCTTCTTCTTTTTTATTGACTAGGAACTTTGCTTCCTTCTTTCCTGTCTCCATGTTTATTCTAAGAAACATGGGAGTATAAATAATAAATTCAAGTCCAATTAAAATTGCTTGCATTTAATTCAATTGCAATTTATCTTAATTGCTACAAGTAACGATTGCATTCAAACCAATTGCAATCAGAAAGTTGCATAATTTTAGAGAAATCATTAAAAAGAATTAATCATTACTGACCTGACATGAAGTCCCCTGGGTATAGATTGTCCTGGTTTAATCTCCTGCCAATCAGAGGTTGGAACAAATATTTCAGGGGAGGAAACTTCTAGAAATCAAAATCTTACAAAAACAAACTGAGTTTTCTATTTCATGAAAATGGCAGAAATTTTAGGCGATGGATACCAGAAAAAATTGTCCTAGATAAAAAATTTCAACATGAAAAATAATGTTTTTATATTAGTATTTTGGGGTAAAACGTAAAATAAACTAGTTGTCTTCAAAAAAATTAATCATAAAAAAAATAATCTGAGTAAGATTTAAACCTTCAGTGGATGAGGATACACTCTCCTCTGACTCCGAGTTCAGGGCGTCCTTAGGGTTTAGAGCCATCAGCTCTTGACTGAAGGAAAAATTACGGTTAGTTTGAAGATAACCAACACATCTTAAAAAAGACACTTTGTGCCCCCCCCCCCCCACTAAATCTAAAAACTACCAAAGTCCCTGGTTAACATCGTCATCTTTAGATTTCTTCCAATTGGACAACATTGGTTAATGGTTATTATACCACATTCTTATCGGATTTACTAAATAGCCAAATCTGCAATAAATCAATTATTATATATTGACACTAAAATTTTTTTTTTATCAATACCTTCGCTCCTGATAAGGGGAAAGAGTATTTTCCAGTCCCTTTTTAAGTGAAAGACTACAGGTGTAAAGTTTGTACCATTTATCTCTATTATTACAAAAGTTATTTCTTATTATTGGAGACTTTTTGAGGTCCTTTCATGTTAAAATAAAAGTTAACAATGTAATTCTGGGAATATGTTCAAATCCTCCATGAATGTGGTATAATATTACTATGGGCAGGAAGAAAGTGCAATAATCAAAATTATACTTTCTTCCTACGCATAATATACTAATTTTATATATTTACATGAATTTTTCAGGTTCTTTAAGTATTTAAACAATTCAAAAAATTAAGTATTCTGTTTAAATCAACTTATTTTTTAAACAAAAATAGGAAAATCTAAAAACTTTTTTTTTATTCAAAACTAGTATTAAATCTTTACCTGGAGACCCAGCCTAAACTTTGACAGAAAAATATGCACAAAAGAAAATTCATTATTTTCTGAAAAAGTATTAAAAAAATGATTAGTCCTCTAGTCTCTGGCAATCCTGATATTCCATCTTAAAGTACTTGCTCTTTTTCTTCTAAGAAAGGTCTGCACGGCAAGTGTTAGGATATTGTCTTAGGTTGTTTTACAAGCACTCGGGGTTCTTGGGCATCTAAGAGGTCCTACAAATATCTGAGAAGTTTAACATAAGATAAGACAAGGAAAGAATCTGAATTTCTAAACTGTAAATTTTAAATATTAGAGGAAACATGAAACACAATCCAAAACATCAGTTTTCCTAACTTACTTGTTGGTTTATTCATTCTTACATATTATTTATCTTACGAGAAAATAAATTGCAGAGTTTAACATAAAACAAGCGTTCGAAGTTACACCCTTGAATGTTTTCAAAAGTACCAAAATCTATGCAACATAATAATGATAAAAAATATACACATTAATAAATATTCGCATTAACACAAACATCCAGAGGTCTCCGATGCACATATTCGCCAAAAAAAGATTAACACATAATACACTTCGCTATTATCATTATTAACAATCAACCTACAGACGAAGTACAACGACCTGTAGGTTGAAATACAATGAAAACAGGGCTGAGCTCCTCCACTTACCCTGGTCTATATGGGATCTAGTGGTTCATGAAACACAAAAACCAAATGATTCACAAATGTGTGAACGTATTTACTCAGTACTCACCCATCCACAACAAAATATCACATTAAGCATCAATAGTTAGGAAAAACTGGTACAACACAAACAACATAAAAAAAGTGGAACGAAATAGGAACTCTCCTAAAATCCTAAATCAAACAATGTCTGTTGGATAAATTTAATAAATAGGCAGGATATACATTCGTAAAATATTTTGAATTTGATCTTTAAATCATAAAATATATCACAATTAAACTGGAATCACAAACGATAAAAAAGCAAATGTTTAAGACACGTTCTTAGTTTAATAAATCTGTGGCTGAGTATAATCTTTTTAGAGACAAAAAGAAACAATCATTTTAAAATAAACCTCCGTCATATTAAATATAATTTCTGTATTTTGGGTTTCTACGAAGTTTTAGCATTTTAAATTGTAAATAACAAACCGTGGATTTGTGTTTTTATAACGTTTAAAATGCATTAAAATAAATACATATAATAAAACTGAAATGTTTTCAGTTTACAGGGGGCTGCAGATTTTATTAAAACTGCGAAAATATTTTTTGTTAAATTATTGGCATGTTCTAAATATCTAATGTGTTCACAAGGTAGCAATTTGTGCGAAAGTAGTGAAATTGATGGAACAAATATTTTTTTTAAATATCAATAGAAGTCATGAATGTTCCACCCCTCCCGCATCCCATCAATAGTGATGATAAAAAATGTTGTGACCTATATAAAAAACAAATTCATGTATATTATTTATCAATGAGATAATGTTGCTAACAACCCATCTCAGGGTAGAAAATAAAAACTATAAAATAATAAAAGTTTAAAGTTTTTTTTTAGTTTAAGAGAGATGGAGGCATAGCATGTAATACTAAGGAAGGATTGCAGTTCCCAACAAAATAATAATACGCCGCTACAACTTAAAGAATTATACCAAGCGCAATCTTCTAATAATATATAAATGTTATATGTAAAAGGAAACGAGAATGTTTGGGAAAACATGTTTTTATCTAAATGATCAGTAATCACAAAGTGCCAAGCTTACAAATATGTGCCCCCCCNCCCCCCCAACTCCATAAGTTCAGATCTCCGTCTGGCACTTTACAGGATTTAAAGGCCTTGTCGAATACTTGCTATTGTTTGCCGTAACATCTGTGCGTGAGCTCGAGCATGTTTAACCTAAAAATGAAAATATGGTTTGTCGAATGTGTACGAACTAAAAAATTATAGATTCACCAAAAATATCCTTTTAATCCATACATATCAATATATAATACAAGAGGAGTTGCCTATGTTACCCCCAGGGTACCCAAGGATTCCCTCAAAAAATGTCAGCCCATTCGGTCCAGCCATTTGGCCGGCTATAGGGAACATATATACGAATGTTTTGTTTTATTTCATAGATAATGTATATTTTGCTTGGGTGTCTGTTTGTTTGTTCGTTCGTTTGAATCCGATAAATGTAAAAACGGCTGAACCGATTGGGCCCAAATCTGTTATAGAAGTTCATATGACCTCAGAGAAGGTTTATGGAAGATAAAAATGTCGACTTTTACAATTTCGAAAACCCTTCAATCACCTCTAGCTCTGCAAGCTCTGACAAACTCTTCTGGAAATGCAGAACTCTTCTTTCCCTCTGCAGTTTTAACTCTTCCTTCGCTTTCTGAGACATTGTCTCGAAGGTTGTGCAAGCTTCTTGTTGCCTGAATAAAAACAAGGTTATAATTTTAAATAGTAATTTTTGTGAAACTGTTTCACCGTTATAAAGTCGATCGCAATGATATTTGATAAGTTTGAGCCGTTCAAAATGAGAAAATTTTATTAGAACAATGTATTTCATCAGTCGGTAACTTTGCCTTTTGAGGTCTACTCATAGAATTTGCATCCGATAATGAGGGCCTGAGGTCAAATCTTTTGTGTTGTGATTGTCCGTATCTTTTATCGTCCTATGATTTGTCCCTTCTAATCCTAGATATCACGTGGTCGGAATCTAGTATGGATAACTAAAGTTGAGGGATCAAGCACGTATTTCTTAAATTCAAGTTGCCACAGTGGATATCGAGTTCAAGCGATGAAGATTAGTGTTTTATTACACAAAATTTTAGACCACTAAGCTTTTAAGGTAAGGACAAGTAAAGCTTACCTGTTTTCTGCTATTCCTACATCACGGTTTTTGGACCGAGCTGCGTCCAACTCCTTGTTAGCTTTCTCATAATTGTTCAGACTTTTTAATCTTCGGAAGAGTAAATCCTAAAGAAAATAACGGAATAGATATGTTTATTTCAGAGATACTGCAAGTAATGATGTTTAAACAACAAGTACCTTCGCAGCGGACGTATCTCTCATATGAAATCGGAGAAAGTCGGATAGTTTCAGATCTTGATCATTAGCAACCCGTCCTTCAATCCTCCGCATCTTTTCAAACGTTTCCGACAGTTTAGAGAGAAACCCTTCTAAACTACTATTCTCTAGGGTTGCAAGGTCTAAGAGACCACTGGAGAGCTTGATGTAGTTATCCGCTAGTTCCTTGTGGGTCGAACTCATCTTATCCGACCTGATGCATGCGTCCTTCAACTGCTGGTTGTAGGTTATCAGAAATGTTTTCTCTGACTCGAAAAAGTCGTCAATATCCTTTACAGTGTTGGAGAGGAGAAATTCGTCGCCAGTCTTCTGGAAGGAGGAGAAAATATCAACCAGTCTCTCCTTCTTGTTCTTCCCTCTCACGTTGAGATCCTGATCGTACTCCAGGAACACGTGGAGGTTACGGTCTGACTTAAACACAGGGTGGGACGCCAGGCGGGAGAGAAACACTTCATGTTGAGCAACTGTTTTCTAAAAAATTAAAAAGAGAGAGTTAAAAAATAAAATACGACACATTTTAACTTTATGGTTTCCATTTATATTATATACCATTTATATTATATACCATTTCAAGACCTATTACAAATTCTACACATTTTGAAAATGATCAAATTAAGATGTTTAATGAGAATAACCTTGAAAGTTGCGAGGTACTCTGCCTCCAGCTCCTGCTTCATCTTATTGAACTCTTCCTTTGTAAGCTGACCAGACTCCGCCTCCCCCAGCTTCTGCAGCTTCTCGCGGGACGCATCAAAGTCCGGACGGGGCGGAGCAGGAGGAACTATATATCCGGCATACAACATGTTGTCTAAACACGTTTGTAAGTAACAACACAAACAACAGTTGAAATTAATATGTATGCAAGTGCCTAGGATCAGGATCCGTTGGATCCGCACCACTTCTGTTTCCAAGGGGCAAAATATAACCCAAAACCTACTAACAAAATGTTATCTCAAAAGTCAAAACACAAATCTCTGCTGTTAACTCACGAGAAACTTTTTAATCTGTGACTGTTCCTTCAAGTTTCAGCAAAAAAAGAAAAAACGTAGAAACTTTTATTTCTTAAAACATCATTAAATGTTGTAGAAAATCCTGGATACGGAATTGGTTTAAGATCCGGGGACCGAATTTAATGCGTTTGAGCTCCGTTACTGAACTACCTACTGCCGGTTCAAATTTGAACCACCGATTCAAAGTAGGCAGTTCAAATTCATTGAATTCATTCCTGGATTCATTTGTATTCACTTGGATCCAGGAATGGATTTTTATTTCAAACCTCGTATATCATCATGAAGCCAGATGAAGTCCTCATGAAGACGCATAACAGAGAACTCGTTCTTATGGAACTCAGGCATACTGGACCTTGTATGCACAGTGAACTTTACTTTATCTTTCTCAGAGAGTGCATCAGATATATCAACCTGAATATTAGATATATCAACCTAAATATCAGATATATCAACCTGAATATTAGATATATCAACCTAAATATCAGATATATCAACCTGAATATTAGATAGATCAACCTGAATATCAAATATATCAACCTGAATATCAGATATATCAACCTGAATATTAAATATATTAACATGAATATTAGATAGATCAGCCTAAATATCAGATATATCCACCTAAATATCAGATCAGATATATAAACTTGAATATTAAATATGTCAACCTAACATCAGATATATCAACCTAAATATAAGATATATAAACCTAAATATCCGACATATCAACCTAAACATTAGATGTATTAACTTAAACATAAGATGTATCAACCTAAATATAAGATGTATCAACCTAAATATCAGATATAAAAACCTTAATATCATATTCATCATCCTGAATATCAGTTAAATCATCATAAATATTAGATATATCAATCCAAATATTAGATATAATAACTTAAATATCATATGATATATATCAACCTAAATATTCAATATATCAACCTAAACATTAGATATATCCACCTTAATATTAAATATATCAACCTAAATATTAGATATGTCCACCTAAACATCAGATATATCAACCTAAATATTAATTATATTACCCTAAATATTAGATATATCAACCTAGATATCAGATATATAAAATATAACCATCGAAACTAACCAAATTTAAGAAGTATATCCTATCTGTGTAAAACAAAACAAATTTTTTTATAACCCTTCCGGATAGACTATTTTTTATATCTAGAGAATTATAAGACTACCTTAAGTTGAGAAGAATCACTGTTAAGATCAATATTCTGTACCCCAACCTCCTCTCCAGTTTCCGAACCCATTCTAGTGATTCTGAAATATCCAGGTGTGGGTAACAAACTTAGGAAAAGGTTGTGGTAGGAAATAAGGAATGCTAAGTAATACAAATTGTTCTTAGAGAGTATAGAAAATAACTGAAAAGAAAAGAAAAGAAGGAAAAAAGTTAATTTCCATCAAGTTGTTAAAGACAGCTCCTGGAGTAATCTAAAATATAAATCATTTCTCTTAACAAATACACATAACATAACTTTCTACTGACTACCTATAATAATAATAACCTACACTTGTCTATCAAAGCCTTCACATGTCTATTATAGCCTTCACTTGTCTAACAGAACATGCTAACCTTCCCTTGGCTTACGTATTCATTACTTGTCTACCATAGCCTTCCCTTGTCTACCATAGCCTCCCCTTGTCTAATAAAGGTGGGATAATAAATATGGTAGAACAGACTAGAAAGACTCCTGTTAGGATGAATGTAAAGGTTGGATTATGGACATGGTAGAACGTATTAAGAAAGGTTCTGGTAGGACGGATGTAAAGGTGGGATAATGAACATGGTAGAACGGATTTAGAAAGACTCCTGTTAAGATGGGTGTAAAGGTGGGATAATGAATATAGAAAAACTCCTGTTAGGATTAATGTAAAGGTGGGATAATGGACATGGTAGAACGGATGGCAGGACAGGCGTAAAGGTGGGTTCTATTTCAAAATCCTATGGAAATCCCATGGATTTCAGTCAAAAGTATCCTCTTTAGGAATTTAAGATATGAAAGGAGTTGAGTCTTTGTCACAAACTTGAAAATGCCATTCACTTTTTCTTTGCAACCTGGCGGTGTAAACCTTTGATATTTTAAACTTAGATTACTTGATCTAACAGAGTTTAAAGTTTGAAATATCTAAGGTCTACGACATTGGGTTGCTAAGATAGAGAGGTATTAAAATATCAGAGTTTGTGGGGAAACCTCAATTCCTTTATTAGTAATTTTATTTAAACTGTGATTATGATTATCTTTAGACATAAACGGGATAAATGAAAGTGTTAATATACTTTTTGGCGCAAAATCAAATTTTCATTAAATTTTTACAGTTAACACACCGTTCTAAATGGCCTTAAAACACGGTTGAAATAGGGAAAACCTAAAGCATTTGAAATTTACACAAGTAAATCTATAAAACATGAGTTTTCACAAAAAGATCTCGATGAAAAGAGTTAGGATTAACATTTTTCTCAATCATTTTACTTACATTTTCGAACCCCACCATCCTTTTTTTTGAGGCATTTCAAAAGTCTTGATTTTGTTCAGGCGCACTGTGTAATGAATTAACATTCTAAATGGCTTAGAACTTTGAAGTTTAATCGAAATTAATTCCTAATTTATCTCTTAGAATAAATCTAATCTGATCTACCACTCGCCGTACTACTGGACGAGGGTAATCTGACTGTTGTAACTGTTTGAGAATCCAACGGATCTCCTTTGTTTCTATAATCTGGGACTGCTGCTACTGAGCAGATTTTAATATTTTATTCTAACCGTGACTGATTGATTGTTTTTCAGTTCACAGGTCTGAGCTCTGTATCGCTATATCAGAAATAAATATCATAAGAGACTCTGTGTATTAAATGTTAATAGCTGAATAACACCCGTGGATCTAGGTATCGAATTCTGTGAATATGCTTGCTAATTTTTCCAAAAGGGGGGGGTCCAAGCACTACGGCAACAAGTAAGCGTTTTTATTACACGAGCGGAAATGAAAGACCACATTTTATTAAGATAATACTCAATACTTTGAGTAGAAAAGGTTTTATAAAGGAATATCCTTGGCCTTCCCCAGTCCTATTTAGAAGTTCCTTATCTTAAAAAACCCTTTGGCTATTGGTACCTGATAAACTGCAGTTTTTCTGAATTGTGTATTATATTAACTGTTTTATCATGTTATCTGTAATATATTTTCTTTTACTACTGATATACTCTATTATATACTCCCACCATTAGATATACATATACGGGGGAGGGGGGGTTGCTATAGTTGCAGAGGTTCAGTTATCAGAACGGGGAAGGGGGAGTGGGTCTATTAGCAGGGGTTCAGTTTACAAGAGGGGAGGGGACTAGTAGTAGGGGTTTAGTTTTCAGGAGAGGGGTACTAAGTAGCAGGGGTTCAGTTATTAAGAGGGTAAAACTGTAGCAGGGGGTTTGTTTAGAGAAGGTATAGAAAGAGATAAAATGGCCAATTTCTAGGTTTAGATAACGGGAGTGGAGGAAATGGAAGATAAAACAAGGAAAGTAGAGAAGACTAATTATAATTCCCAATACACTGACAAATACCCGCAACCCATGGACATTAAAAACTGTTAGGTACTGATGGTAATTGGAGCATTGTTCTTCCAGATAAAATAAAACCTTTCTTTTAAAAACAAATACTAACTTAGGATAAAATATAGAATAAACTAAAATAAAGTTGAGGCTAAAACGTTTGCCTTGATATAATAACAGATCACTGAAGTCTTTTTATAAAGTTAACAAAGCCCTAGTCAAAGTTAGATTTGAAATAAGGGAAGAATGAATTTGATTTTTTTAAAACAATTTACTGTTTATGGCACTGAGTGTATATCAAGGATAAAAGTATATGTACTGTATGTCAGGGACTATTGTTACTAAAATTTCAACTGGAACAGTAGTGATGTACTCTATGAGTCTGGACACCTCAATGCCCGACTACTTTCTCAATAAATAGTTTCATATCGTTGAGCTCCCTGTCACTGGTTTCATGCTGTATCCGGTAAGTGTGAAACTAAAACAGAAAAAAAAATCTTTTGCGAAAGATACAGTGTCCCACATCATATTGGATCGTGTTTAGCTCTAAATTTAGATTTTAGGGCTGTGACAGAAAATAATAATAACTCTGAATAGTTACTGAGGGCCAATATAAAAATTACATGCAGAAAATATAGGGTTTTTTAAGCAGTGCAGTAGGATCCGGATCCGCAAAAATATGCGGATCCACGGATCCGGATCCAAGGGGTAAAATATCAACCAAAAACTGCAAAAACAACTTTTTTACTCCTAAAACCCAGCTCTGAACTTTTGAAAAAAGTTTCCTCATTTCTGAATGGTTCATCAAGTTTTAGAATAAAAATAAGCGAAATAAATAAAAAAAAAAATTTGAAAATTATTTTTTTGTTAAAAAAATTCAGTAAGTCTTAAAGAAATAACCTGGATCCATTTTTTTCCAGTGCGGATCCAGGATCCGCATCAAAATTAAATGGATCCTAAGCACTGTTTTTAAGTATTCTGTATGTAACTTTATGTTATAGCTTGGAGATAATCCGATAAAATATGGGACGCTTAATATGAAAATCATAATGAGAGTACACCCAAGATACAAAATTTCACTAAATCACTGAATTTCATTAACTGATATTTTCATATTAAGACAAACAAAGTAAACCAGATTTTTATAAGCAGATCGAGTGTACTTTTCAGCAACATCTAATCAAATCTCATGTGATATGTGATATTATAGAAGAGATCTGCAAGAAGCCCCATTTTGGTGTTTGGCCTGAATTTAAAAAAGTAAAACATTGAAATGAAATTAATGTTTATCAGTCCAAAGAATCTTGAAACCATAGTGGATTAATTATCTATTAGATATTTGTATGTAAAGATAAGGCTTACTTCATGCTTTGTTAGGAACTGCTTGAGAATCTTGCTTGTGTTTATACCGTACTGCAGGGGAAGGATATTATCTGTTTCTCCGTGAGCTTGAAAGAAGGGTATATCTAAAAAGAAAGCGTTTAATATACTGATATTGGTGCATTTAAAAGGAGACCCCCCCCCCCCTCTGTAAGATTTACGGATCTTTTAATTCTTGACGTTGAGGTTGAATCCGGAAACCCTGATCTGAAGAAGCACATGAAGATCTGTTCGAATATATCTCTCTATTCCTTTCTCTTATTTCCTTCTCTACATATCTATAATTGTATTCTAAATATAAACTGAGAATTTTATTGAGAGCGAACTAAAGTTTTTTTTATAAATTTTGCAAATTAATTTTTACAACTCCAGCTTTGAAATGTTTAATATCTTCAAGCCTAAAAAGCTTTTTCATATCGTCCAAATATGAAAATCCTGGAATACTATTTTACTAAAAATCATTATATGGTCTATATATTTCAGACCACAATGGCCTAGGATAACTGCGTTATCCAGTCTTGTCGCTCCAGGTTGTGCAATACTAGGTTTATAAAACAGCTTCTCTTATATTCTTTAAACTCATGGAAGTTCTATGAAAGTGAATTCAGAACTCTTATTGTGTTTCACTACCTGACCAGAACAATGAACTAAACACAGTGCGCCTGAACAAAATCATGACTATTGAAATGCCTCAAAAAAATGTTGGTGGGGTTCTCGAAAGTTTAAGTAAAATCATTGAGAAAAATAATTATCCTAACTTGTTTTATCGAGATCTTTTTTAGAAGTCATGTTTCATTGTATAAATTCCAATTCCGTCAATTTATTCCTTTTTTAAACCTCTTTCGGATAAAATATTTTGTTACCTGTAAAAGTTGAAAGAAAATTGAACTTTGCGCCAAACAGTATATTCATACTTTCATGTTTCTTGTTTATGTCCAAAGATATTCATAATCAAAGTTTATGTAAGGTTACTACTAAATTAAATATCTTTAAACCTGTAAGAATATGATAATCTTATGAGGAAAAAAATGTAATAATGGAAATTCTTAAACGAGATGAAATAATCTTTATGTATTCTTTAACAAGGAAAGGTTACGTAAGACAAGGGAAGGTTATCATGCTATATTAGACAAGTGAAGGCTATGTTAGACAAGGAAGGCTCTGGTAGACAAGTGAAGGATATGATAAACAAGGGAATGTTATGGTAGACAAGTAAAGGTTACGTAAGAAAAGGGAAGGTTATACACAAGTGAAGGCTATGGTAGACAATTGAAAGCTATGGTAAACAAGTGAAGGACTCCTGTCATAAAGGTGGGATAGTGAATATGGTAGAAAAGACTAGAAAACCTCTGTAAAGATGGTTGTAAAGATGGGATAGTAAATATGGTAGAACAGACTAGAAAGACTCCTGTTAGGATGAATGTAAAGGTGGGATAACGAATAAGGTAGAACAGACTAGAAAGACTCCTGTTAGGATGAATGTAAAGGTGGGATAATGGACATGGTAGAACGGATTTAGAAATACTCCTGTTAAGATGGGTGTAAAGGTGGGATAAAAAATATGGTAGAACAGACTAGAAAGACTCCTGTTAGGATGGTTGTAAAGGTGGGACAATGAATATGGTAGAACAGACTAGAAATACTCCAGTTAAGATGGTTGTAAAGGTGGGATAATAAATATGGTAGAACAGACTAGAAAGACTCCTGTTAAGATGGTTGTAAAAGTGGGACAATGAATAGGGTAGAACAGACAAGAAAGACTCCTGTTAAGATGGTTGTAAAGGTGGGATAATAAATATGGTAGAACAGACTAGAAAGACTCCTGTTAGGATGAATGTAAAGGTTGGATTATGGACATGGTAGAACGTATTAAAAAGGTTCTGGTAGGACGGATGTAAAGGTGGGATAATGGACATGGTAGAACGGATTTAGAAAGACTCCTGTTAAGATGGGTGTAAAGGTGGGACAATGAATAGGGTAGAACAGACTAGAAAGACTCCTGTTAAGATGGTTGTAAAGGTGGGATAATAAATATGGTAGAACAGACTAGAAAGACTCCTGTTAGGATGAATGTAAAGGTTGGATTATGGACATGGTAGAACGTATTAAACAAATTTCCCTTCCAAGCACTGACAGTAAAACAAGTAAATCTACATCATCAAGTCATTTATCACACTTAGATCTATCTATCTATAACTCGTAGTGTCCTAACTCGTAGTGTCCTAAACAATGTAGTGAAATCCGTAAATGACGTCACTGATTTAAGAGGCGAGTGTAGGGATCAGTAAAGTCATTTACGGATTTCACTGTTCATTGCACAGGAGATTTCCGTTCATTGGCATCTAGAGTTAGCAACCTTACTCAACAACCTTGATCCATTCTTATAAATTTTGTACAATTTTGAATCACACTTCTGAAGTCTATTCATTAACCAATAGATTAATAAAATGGTCTCACAATTGTTAGGTTCTTATGTTTACCCTTGTTATAAAGCAGATTTGGATCTGGTAATCTTGCTTCAGGAAAGAAGGTTGAGAGTGCAATACAAGCGGCAAGAGGTTTTTCACAGTGTAGAGCGGAGTAAAGAGCTAGAACAGCACCTATAGAGAATACAATTTACAATCAAGTACAATACGGTACAGTAGGTGGATTTGCAGATCTAAAAGTTAGTAAGAACAAAATTGGTAATAAGCTTATTGTTTAAAATCTTAAATTTCTTATTTTCGTAGTTTCAAACTATTCGAAAGTTTAGATTTTTCATTCCCACCTTGTGAGAAGCCTCCGATGATGATTTTATTACTAGGAATCCCACTACGGATCTCATCCTCTATCAGTCCATAAACAGTTTTCGCGGATTTCTTAAGGCCCTCGATATCAGTTTCCTGTTCCAGATTGTCTAGAGATTCCAGATCGAACCAGGCCGGCATTCGGAACCCCAGGTTTAATGTTATAGGAATTACAGGGGCTGTGGGACAGATTACCTAATAATAGTCTAGGTTAGAAATAAAATTACTTAAAAACTTTTCATCTAGTATTATCTGGATCTGAACAATAATGTGTAAGATATCGTCTTATTTTACCTTGAAAACTTTCAATTCTGTCAATTTCCTCTATATTGTTTCATGCGCAAGTTACTTTACAGTAACATCATAACAGAAGGTTATGGATATCTCATACAGTGAAACCCTTAATAACGAATACATCGAAAGAATTGATCAAATGTCGTATTCTTCACTTTCTGATAATGGAATGTTGCAGATATTTAGTTTTTTAATTAAATGATTATATGGAACTCTTTAAAACTGTATTCATTCATTCGCATATTCATGGCTATTTATTTATTTTCGAAAATACTGAAATTTACGAAATATAGTATAAAACTCATTGAAAAATTGTCAAGACGACATTTGATAAATTCTTCCGATGTATTCGTTATTAAGGGTTTCACTGTACATTCTTTATCAGACAAATCTACTAAGGGAACAATTGTAAATCGGACATGCCACGCTGTAAATGAAGAGTCGCCTAAAAGTCCCATTAATAAGTAATAATTTAACCCCTACCTTGAGATGATCAGGACGGAGAGTGTTCAGTATCCCAGCCCAACCATGGCCTGTATCCCCCAAACCATGGAGGAATATCATGGTTGCAGTTTGCTTTATTCTAGGCTTCAAGATCACAGGACGCATTGACATCTTGGTATCGTGGAGTTTATTCAGGTTTCACAGCCTTAGGAGATTCAGAACTAGGTTCAGATTTATCTTTACAGGATTAATCTAAGGTTTAGGAAGAGTTTAATCTTATTCAGGAGAGAGTAGTTGGACCGCCTTTTCTCCGACTGAGCTTGGAGTTTAATCTGTCGAATTATGAGAGCCTAAAAATCAATATGCAATAAGTATACAAAATGAAAAAATATAAGTTTCAATAAGGTTAAAAATTACAGAAAAATTATGAATTTTTAATTTCTAAATAATAATATATTATGCGTAGGAAGAAAGTGTAATAATCAAAATTATTGTTATAATATTGAAAGAAAAACCGTGGAATAAGTTTGATTATTCACCGAACAATAATTTTGATTATTACACTTTCTTCCTACGCATAATAATATTATACCACATTCTTGGAGGATTTAAATGCATTCCCAGAATTAATATGTTAATTCTTATTTTAAATTGATCTATCTATCTATCAAGTTCCCGGTGAATAATTCTTGATATTGTCACTTAAGTCGTGGATCTATCTATCTATCAAGTTCGCGGTGAATAATTCTTGATATTGTCACTTGGTTCGTGGAATATCATAATTATTACACAAAATGGGTGACAATAACAAGAAATATTCCGGATTTGGCTACGTAGTAAATCCGATAAGAATGTGGTATAATATTTATTATACCACATTCTGCTGCGCCTTTCGGTGAATAATCAAAATTATTCCACGGTTTTTCTTTCAATATTATAACAATAATTTTGATTATTACACTTTCTTCCTACGCATAATATATTAATAATTCAAGAATAGGCGAGCAAGATATATCATGGATTTCCATTTTCGACGAAAAAACACTTTATGTATGGAAAAAGAATACATTAAGCGTGTTATAAAATGGATCGTTACATGATTCAAGTTTATGAGCCCAGTGCAGCAAATAATATATTCATTTACCTGTCGTATCAGATCAATATTTATGCATACAAGTAAGATAGTTAGACCATACTTTAAGCTTCCCATACCTCCATATTCTTCTGAAAATATTATAAATAAATTATTTGTAACAAATCCATTTTATGGATTCAAAATAAAAAGCTTTAAAATTTCTTATTTCTCTCCGTCCATCCTTCATCCACGTTAGGTAGAGAAATATCGTCTTTTCTCAGGAAGGAAAGAATAGATTTCTCCGCACTGAGAGGATTCAGCAACTTGGAGTAAGGAACTACGATCGGAGTAAATCCTAGAAACTCGAGTTGTCGAACCTAAAAACATAAAAATGTACGTGTGTAAAATCTAATTTTTCTTAAAATGCTTTTATAAAAGATGGGATTTAAATAAAAATTATATTTTTACTGTGATTTAGAACTAACCTTTACTTCTTCGGTCCCTATCAATTTATTCTCAGAGTTCAAGTTTTTTCTGTTTGCAATTACAAGGACATTCCAGTCTCCAGCCGGAGCTCTCTAAATCATATTCTGGTTAAATTTTAATTTACTAGATCATACAAAAGACGAAATTTTATGAAATTACAGCCCCCACCCCCACAATCTCATCCCATACATAATATCTTTATAGGTTACCTTGGGTCTAAGAATACTTAAATCTGTAAGATACTCTGGTATGGATACAGGGGTTCCTCCAATGTTTCCAAAGATGATATCTGGATCGTGAAAGTGTGGAAGGATTCGTCCAACACCGACAAATCTTGGTGAACCTAGAATCTTGACAGCCCCACGGTAACAGTTCACCAGAAGCTTCGATCTGTTCTCCAGATTATCCGAACTCATCTGAGGGGTTTGGATTTGTAAAGGTATCTTTTTATGAAAAAGAGAAAGAATTAAAGCTGCCAAATCCATGTTTAACTCTAGATCCAGGTCAACCTGATCTAGGCGTAGGTTAAATGTAAGGAAGGCAGGGATTCGAACCAGGGAAGAGGACAACTTTATATTCTGGTCTATACTGGATGTATCCGCTAGCAGGGCATCTTTGTGAGGATGTTTCTCAGCAATGTTCTTTATCATCTCCTTCCCCATTGTACTTAAGTTCGAATGTTTCACTTCGCTTAGTTTAATATCATTCATAGCTTGAATAAATGGAGTTATAACTTCCATCCTGTAAACATGATTAATAGCGAGGTGGCTCAAGGAGTTTAATACATCAACTAGCTCTTCAACAGAGGTCGCCGTTTCAAACAATCGAGATATTTCACCCTTTAGTAACAGAAGGAGTTTAAGGTTGTAATAGTTAGACTTAGAGAAGAAGTATGTAAGTCCAAGCATATCCTTGCAGTTCAGTTGATCAATGCTGGAGATGACTCGGTTGCAAACCTTATCTGTTAATTCTTGGTTTTCTAACCCATTGCTTATTCCATACGTCATCATCTTTATAGCGGTCATCACAGATACGTCCTCGCTGTATTCAAGGAAACTAAGAAACGCCTAAAAAAGTATTTATTCTAATGATTCTGTCAAACTATTTTCAATTAAAAGATGAAATTAATGTCATCTTAAAAGACTCATGAAACATGACTAAACCCCTGTTGTCAATACCTTTCAAGGTACTCTAAGAATTTCAAGTTTTATAACGAGATTTTAATTAAATTCTTTATCTACAGCGATGACAAAACTAAGCGACAAGCCGTGTTACCTTCTCAATGCTGACTGGGTTATCGTGGTAGACCTGGTTTCCTTTCGTCAAGGTGGATATTATCGTCATGAAGTAGAAATCCTAAAATATTTTATTCTCAGAAAATATTTTAGTTTCTCCGGGACCGAATTTAATTTAGTTTCAGCAAGGTCGCTAAACTACCTTGTAACCTACCACTAGTTCAAAGCCTAAATCATCGATTCAAAGATTCACGAGGATTTTAATCGTTGATTCGAAATATTTATGATTTGAACCGGCTTTAAGTAGTTCAGGGACCTCTCCAATTCATTAAATTCGGTCCTAGGCCAGGATTTAAATTTTCCTTATATTAACACCATGTCTTCAAAAGTGTTTTAGTATGTACGATATCTTTTACTTTTACCTTAAATTTTGAATCCAGATTCTTAGTATTCAGTAGGTCATAGAGTACATGTCTTAGTACATCGTTCTTTATCCGCAGATTTTTAATTTTCTTCAATCCAAGACAACCAGCACAGATCTCTTCAGGCTTCAGTTGACCTCGCTGGATCTTCAACGCAAACACAATCTGCAGCTCATCTAACAAATTGGATATTTTACATAATTCATAAAATAATTTAGGGAGAAATGCTGAATATTTCGGCGTCATTTTTACGAGGAAAGCAAGACATTTTTCAAGATTTTAAACTAATATTAATATAAAATAGGGTTTCACTGTACATTCTTTATCAGACAAATCTACTAAGGGAACAATTGTAAATCGGACATGCCACGCTGTAAATGAAGAGTCGCCTAAAAGTCCCATTAATAAGTAATAATTTAACCCCTACCTTGAGATGATCAGGACGGAGAGTGTTCAGTATCCCAGCCCAACCATGGCCTGTATCCCCCAAACCATGGAGGAATATCATGGTTGCAGTTTGCTTTATTCTAGGCTTCAAGATCACAGGACGCATTGACATCTTGGTATCGTGGAGTTTATTCAGGTTTCACAGCCTTAGGAGATTCAGAACTAGGTTCAGATTTATCTTTACAGGATTAATCTAAGGTTTAGGAAGAGTTTAATCTTATTCAGGAGAGAGTAGTTGGACCGCCTTTTCTCCGACTGAGCTTGGAGTTTAATCTGTCGAATTATGAGAGCCTAAAAATCAATATGCAATAAGTATACAAAATGAAAAAATATAAGTTTCAATAAGGTTAAAAATTACAGAAAAATTATGAATTTTTAATTTCTAAATAATAATATATTATGCGTAGGAAGAAAGTGTAATAATCAAAATTATTGTTATAATATTGAAAGAAAAACCGTGGAATAAGTTTGATTATTCACCGAACAATAATTTTGATTATTACACTTTCTTCCTACGCATAATAATATTATACCACATTCTTGGAGGATTTAAATGCATTCCCAGAATTAATATGTTATTCAATTCAATTCAATTCAATTCAATTCAATTCAATTCAATTCAATTCAATTCAATTCAATTCAATTCAATTCAATTCAATTCAAATCAAATCAAATCAAACAAAATATAATCAATCATATTTTGCAGGTATGGCTTTAGGCGTCCTTTATCATTAAAAGTAAGACCTGTTATTCAAAAACAGGTAAAACAAAGGATATTCAAACGTTTAAACAATCATGTAAGTAATAATCTTGAAGTCAAAAAAAGATTTCATTTATCCAAAATACCTAAATCTAGATATTGACAGATATCATCAATTGTTAGATCCTTCCTGAAGAGTTAATCCATGATATTAAGTATCAAGTAAGTAAATTATTATAAAAAGTAAGTTATCATAAATGAATGAAACAATAAAACAATAATAGCTTAATACCAATTAATTTTTTTCTTCAGCCTGATCAAATAACATTTTAAATATCTACAATTCCAATACGTATTAAGTTAAAAACTTTTTGATTCGAGAAAAATCTATTTTAAAAATTCCTTGAAATAAAAGTTGTAAGATTTTTAAAAGAAATGAAGAGGTCAAGAAATAATTATGGTTGGTGGGAAACACTGTAAATTATAGTTTAAAGGAAAGTATCTGGTTCCTGAAGTAAATTAGAAGAAGAAGAGCAACAAGTTCGTGTGGTTCCAAATTATTAAGATCTCCTGAACCAAAGAACAAATATAATTTTTGGATATTATATCCAAAATCTTTATTACAAAATTTTAAGTCCAAGTTAATTATGCAAGCTCGAAGGTTACAGTGTTTTATAACATTAATTATGATAAATCTGTTCTCCCTGAACCCATCTGCTCGATAACTCTATCCAAATACTGTCTTGAGTTAATTTTTGTGTTAAGATGCATCAGATATCCAACCCGGAGCTGTACACTTGACGCCCACTCCTGAAGTACAAGGGTTGTAGACATCAGGGATGTAAATTTTAAAAAAAAATCATTTTTAGGAGAAAATAAATTAATTTTTGTGTTAAATGTATCAAAAAAAAGTTTCCTTTAGGTCCAATTTTTCATTTCCCCCCCCCCCCCATAAAATCGTCAAAAATGTTGTTATTCTATAAAATATACATCCCTGTTTAAGGTTAAATGTTCCGTAAACTTTACAGAAGTAGAGTGTAAGTGAAACATGAACAAAAGACTTAATATTTAATTATTATGAAAAGTACAGTTTCTTATTGAATGTTATCAAGTTTTCACTGTATTCAGGGGACAATTGATAAGCTTAGTGAATAAATGTATTAATGAAGGATATATTCATTGATTGAAAAAATAGCACCGACCTTAAATCTGTTCAGAACTTCTCCTTCTAGGTTCTCTAGGGTTCCAGGATTCTCCTCCCTGGGCTTTGAGCCAATGGTTCAAAATGAACACTAATCAATTCACTAATCAGATGTACGAAGAAAGAGAGCTGAGGCAGTTAAGCTAGTTAAGGGTAGATCAACTACCTATCTCTCGTTCTTTTGTTAAATCCTCTTTAAAAGTAATTTTAGAAAGAAATGCAATGTTTTTTAGGCCAAGCTTTAAAATATTTTATGGTTCAGACAACAGATTGATACCAAAGACATCCCTGCTCTGTAGGGTGGATATAAGTCTGGTTGCTACAGCTCCGGGATCAGGTTCAACAGCATAATTAGGATCCAGGTACTAAAACAACTTTTATTTTACTTTGTTCTTCAATAGTCCCCCCCCCCTTTACTCCATTCCTCTTTACCTGGTAGTTATTGTCCAGGGACAGGCGGGTGTACAGAAGACGAGAGTATTCACCGTTGTCGTACATACTAAACTCAAGTTTCAAGAACGTGTGGAAGATACGATTTTGAGTAAGAATTTTGACACGACGACAATGCGCCATTCCTTGTCGTAACATTGTGCCTGGAAAACAACAATAAACATGCAAATTTATTCAACAAATGCTAATTTTGGTCCAATAGGTTGAGGTTAATAAGTTGGTCAACGTAGCTTGATAATTTTGAACGTTTGAGTATTTCACTTTTCAGGTTTAAGGCATGGTTATATATATAACATTTGCTGTTAAAATACTAGTAATTTACTGTAAATTTTGCGTAAAATAACACTTCTGGATTTTGGATAGTGACAATAGTCAGATTAAAATGATACATTAAAGGGAGTGACCGGCGTATGGTAGTTGAAATGAGAATATAGTATTGAGAAGAAATTTTTTAGGATTTATTTGAGACATATAATACGTTTGTACGGTGCATATTTGTTCAGTAAGAGCGCAAATTCAAACTTTAAAATCCACATAGATTGTCCATTTTAGAGGGATGATTTTTAGGATCAGCTTTTTAAAAATTATTAAATAACGACGACGAAAAAAGCAACAAAAATTTTACAGTAAACTTATTAGTTGCTTGTGAACAGGTTTAAAAAATAACAATTCACTATTATCATCGAAAATAAGTAATCTTATTCAGTTATTGGTTTCTGTAATGTATCATTGATCACAAACATTTTCTGTAGATTTCCTGGATATTTTATTGAAAAGACGACATTTTAAGAATTTGAAAAAATCTGCGAATAAATTAGTAAAGAATAAGAAATTCAATATGATAATAAAAAATAAATAATTGATTTTAACATTGATTTATTGTCAAATTTATATTCAGAAATATGTTCCTAAATATCTACTTAGTTTACTGTAGAACTTTTGTTACTTTGTCGTCGTTTTTTAATAATTTAAGAAAATCGATTCTCAAAACATAATCACCCAAATGTATGATTTTGAACGTCGGATGTACACTTAAACTGTGTAATTATACATCATTAAAACGTTTAATATGTCTCAAATAAAACATAAAAGATTTCTCCACAATACTAAATTCTAAGTTAAACTACCATACATGATATGTGACAGATATGTTAACCAACAACATTTCACAATCGGGTAGAGTTGAGAATAAATACATTTAACAACATTTTGGATACAAAAAATATAATCACAGGTGGGTGTCCGCTAGATATAAAAACCGGTTTAAAGCCATTTCCCCAAAGAAATCCAAGAATACAATTTAAATGAAATGATTAACTACATTTTTATTAGAAGAACATTTTTGACAAGATCTTCGGCCGGATTTACGAGGAATCATGGCAAAATAGTGGCCATTAGTCCAATATCATTAAAACCCCGAACTTACAAAACCGGTTTTAAGATTTGAAATCCCACCTTGAACTATATCAAGGCCAAACAGATTTACATACAATTTTACAAGCCTGTATGCATAGGCTCATATAAGCACAATTTACTATGTTATTACTCATGTGGGTTTCACTATCACAACATTTAAATATCACAATAAGGTTGAAGGGACTGTCTATGTAATTTTTTGTGACCTTTGATTTAAAAGCTCGGTAAATAATTTACAAAGATACCCTTTTAGTTGGCACAAAAGTCAAGAAAGAAAATTAAAATATCTCATCCATTAAACCTAAAGGTTTTGAAATGGTTAGGTTCTACTTTCGTAGTTGGCCATAGAAGAATCCGATGTCGTATTATTTGTACTAATGATTGATCGGACTAACATACATTCGCACTAACGTTCATTCGGACCAACGTTTTATTTGAGGGTTAGGTTAGGTTAAGACAATTTATGGGCCGAGCGCTTCGGCTAGGACAGGCTAGGGGGCCGAGCGCCGCGGCTAGGACAGGCTAGGGGGCCGGGCGCTGCGGCCACAAGTGTTACTGATCAGCTGACTTTAGTGCAATAGTATGTTAGTTCAATCGGACATTAGTGCAAACGATATAGCATCAAAAATCCTTCATCATCAGCCTGTGGACGGGTTACTGCAATACATATACATCCCAGTTCTATTTTGAATTAAGAATCTGGTAAATTATGGATACAATGAACCAGGCAAGAAAAAATCCCCCCAAAAACATGATATGGACTGTAAAAGCACCTAAAATGATCATCCTAGGTTTGGGGTTAACGCAGAAAAATAGAATAAAAAGAGAACATTGTGTTTATTTGAATAAAGGATGGAGAATAAAAATAAATGTTTGAAATAAGAAAATTAGAAATTGAAAAAGATTAGTTATAAGAAAGTATATATTAAAAAAAACTTATAAAGATTTAAAAAAAATAAAGTTTACAACTAAGGAATTTAATCAGTTGAAAGACGTGGAATATGTTTGCAGCCTGATGTATTGTTGCAGTGAGAGCGCGTAGATGCAGGTGTGAAACATTAATGTACTCTTTAATCGAAGGGTCATTAAAAATTACATAGAAAATCACTTAGTCAGTTACTCTCTTAACGAGAGTACAAGAGGGTACATAGAGCACATAGAGTACAGTTTAAATCACTACTATACATTTTACGGCTTGAACACATAATAAAGGTAAGATTACAGTTTAGGAACATTATTCAAGGTTTGTGCAAAAATTGGATAAGCCCAGCAGGTATCCCTAGAAGGGTTGTGATGGGAGTAGAAGGGAATTATTTCCATTGATCGGTTTCCATTGTAATTACTAATTAAGCTTTATTTGCTTAAACTTTCTCTTTTACTTTTTAGATGTACAGTCTAGTTCCGTGAAGGATTTCACAGCGCTAGCCAGGTTGTCTGATAAGTATATATTATTGTGTCCCCTTCTCTCCTCTTTGGGAAAGCTTATGAACCTAAAAATATTCTGAATTTTAAATTGATCACGTATAAGGGATACTTCTGTATTCCACCCATATTTTAAATTGATCACGTATAAGGGATACTTCTGCATTCCACCCATATTTTAAATTGATCACGTATTTCTGTATTCCACCCATATTTTAAATTGATCACGTATAAGGGATACTTCTGTATTCCACCCATATTTCAGATTTTTATTGAAAGCGAATTTTTTTCTCGAAATTACCTGATATTATTTTTTCCAGCTTCCCTTGCTTCAGCCTCTAGTTTTAGCCCCAGTTCGAACGGAACGATAATGTCGTCTTCGGCATGGAGAATCAGGACGGGACATTTGATAGCAGGCAGCCATCTACAAATTATCAAATATTAATTATTTCTACTTACAACTTAAATATTCAGGATCAAAAATACATGGGTTTTCGAAAATATAAGCTTCTGGGGAGTTTTTATTTTTTCAATGGAAGCCCCCAGTTTGATTGGGATTACTTGTGTTACACTTAGTGAACAATATGTACCCTATTCACACGGGATTTTAATTCTCCATAAAGTTGATATCCGTAATAATAACAGCAATAATAATAATACATCGGCATTTTACGCTAACATGTTTTTTTATCTGAAAGAGTCTTACTTTTCGGATTCAAAGAGAAGATCAGATTTCTCCAACAGCTGAGGAATATCAGTTAAGTATGACAACATTCGAGCCAAACTAAAAAATAATTTAAAATCAACATTCTTGATAATCACTCCCAGTGACTGTGTTCAATGTTATATTGTAAAGACAAGAACTTTCAAGCATGTTAATAACCCCTAATTATTGTTTTGGTAACTCCTACCCAAAGCTGAGAATCTCCTGAGCCATAGTATTGAAAGGAGACTCCAAGATGACCCCGGATACTGTTGAGGATCCTCCAGTTTCCAGGTCAAATTCTGCAACAGTGTGTGCACAGATGGCGCTCCCAAGAGAATGGCCCCATACAATAATCTGGAAGAATCAATAATCAATCAATAAAACTGCACTAATAAAATAAACATTCGACATTTAGCACTGATTCTATAAAATGTTGTTTCTATTGAAATAACAGTGTTTTATTATACCTTAGCTTTATCTCCGAGTTTATCAGAAATCCATCCTAGCGCTGCTCTTGCGTCCTCTACTACAGTTTTCTCCGAGAGGTTTACAGGACTAGAATCTCCGAACCCGCGATAGTCTATTGCTAGGACGTAGAATCCTTGTCGGATCAGGTGCTTATACAACCCAACCCTGTGGGACTGAGATCTATTGTAACTGTTTCCATGGAGATACAGTATAAGAGTATCCGTTTCAAGAAGAGGTTCAACCCGTCCACTCGACTTCTCAGGCAGGAAGTACCATGCTCCAATCCGGGAACTTCCGGTAGAGTCTGAACGACAAAATATACATATATTTTTCACTTTCTTATATTGTTGCAACCTGATGCAATAGACATTTACTACTTCAAATTAAAACGTCTGCCTGATCTAAGGAACAAGTTAAAAATTGCAAAGGCTTACACTCTCAGATTGTAAAGATAAAGGGATTCAAAAACTTAGTTAAAAGAAAGTGCTCTGTTACTTTTTGAAAACCCAGCCAACCTTTCGGTGAAGTGATGAAGAGATGAGTGGTGTTGGTTAGATCAAATGCAGGAGAACCTGATCCATTAAACTTGGCAGGATCCGATAGATCAGGGACCAGGGGTAGAGGTGGATATTGAACAAATGGACAGAATATTATTTTTTTCACAATCTCCCCTGACCCAGCAAAACAATGAAATATACAAATTGATATTTTTATTCTCGCAATGTCGTCACAGAGCAAACTCTCGGGATGATGCAATCTTAATAGTCATAGATTCCAACGTTTAGATTACTTAAAAATGATTATTTTCTAAATTATAAAGATCTCAAGCAAGTCGTGTTTTCAGTTCAAAATTACAAAAAAAAAATTTAAAATTATGTTTCGATAAATTTAGATTTTTCTATATCATTTGCTTTTGCTTTCCTATTTTATCCCCCATTTTATCTGAAATACAGAATGTGTGAGATATCATTATAACCATTTATAACTATGTTAAGTTACATACATATATATATATATATATATATATATATTACTTATTCGTCCTCGTTCTCTTTCACAGCCTATAAACGACAGATTATTTCTTCTTGTTCTTCCTCAACCATACTCTTTAATCCGTCCTCAGTTACGCTTTCCTGCTCGTCCTCGATCATCTCATCATCAGGGATTAATCTCATCTCGTCCTGAACTTCTTCATCAATATCAAAACATTGTTCTAGGTGGTTCTGGAGAAGGACCGGAGTAGAAAACCAGTTTGAACAGATCTCGCACTGTAGAGACGACTCACCAGAACTACCCTTCGTGTTGTTCACGCAGTGGATTTTCGTGTGTCGCTTCAACTGATGAAGAAATGCAAATGCTTTTGAACAAAAGTTACAGACATGTTTCGCAAATTCAGGAAACGCTGAGGGATGTTGGCTTGTCACGTGATACTTCAAATGATTGGGTTGAACAAATCGTTTTTCACACAGTTTACAAGCATATCTCCGGGTCTTTTCGTGGGTTAGAAGATGCTCTTTTAAACTCCGTTTTTGTACAAAACTTTTCCCGCATTTTTGACAGCTAAAGGCACGGACTTTGTTATGAATTTTCATGTGCTGATATTTTCTTACTTTATCGCAAAAAGTTTTGGAGCAGACATCACAAGTTCTGTTCTGCAGCTTACATACTCCCTTCTCCACATGATCACGAAGGAGGTTTTCATGAACAAAGGATTTACTGCACAAGACACAAGAAAATTGTTTTGTCATGTGAGTCCTCTCGTGAGCTCTCAAACCAGGTTTACTTGCACATTTTATGCTGCAGAATATACAGGAATATTCTGTACTCAGACCGAGGTTATGTACGCGAAACCTGTGCTTATTTAATAAAGATGGTTTGGAAAATGTATCTTCACAAACTTCACATTTATACTCGTAGTTTCCAGGTTCTCGAGGTTTCAAAGCAATCTTTTTAACAAGCCCTTTAGAATCGTGCTGTTCCTTTATATGCTTGACAATATCAGCTTCCCGACGCTTCTTCATCTTACAAACTGAAATTATGTTTTATTCAAAATAAAATCGCTAAGAATTAGAAAGGATGGTAAAAAACAGGATGAAAAAAAAAAACACTTTTATTTCTGGTCATCAAAGCCAATTTGTATTTCTACTTTGAAGACTTGCACTTCTAGATAAGGTCTCTAGCACTTGAGGATTTCGTGTCTTGCACTTCAAGATAAGGTTTCTAGCACTTAAAGATAAAATGGCCTTACCTAGCAATTCCTCTTGTCCTTACCGTGTACTTCGCAGAATTATAATTTACCTGAACATTTATAAAGGAAAAGATTATTAGTAATTTCTACAGGTTGACCGGCGGGCTGTAGAGGTGGGAATGGTTCAGTCAGGTCACTCAAAACTTCCTGTCCTGATCAAACAAAAATACATTCATTTTGCTGTTTTTTTTCGTATTATTTTTTTATCGATAGACGTCAAGCAAGTAGCCCCGGACGGCATAATTTTTAATCAGACAGAAGAAAACGGTTTGATTTTTCTTTCGTCAATATCTAATATATATTGTTTGCCAGTGTCAAAGTTTTGCATAGTTAGATCAAAGCAAACTGGTAGAGAATAAAATTCTTTAAACACGATAGGCTTCTTAGAAAAGCCGGGATTTAATGTTCTAAAAACGGATCAACCTGGCTGCCAACCTTAACAGTAAGAATGTATTGCATTGTAAAAAAGCTGTTCCCAGTGTAAGAAATATTTTATTTCTCACTGAAATAAAAAACAGCTTTTTTGTCATGGAAATTGATTCTGTCATATTCTAAACTGGAGAGAGATATAACAAGTGTCCCAGTTAAGAATTTTTCGTGGATAAAAATTTGTGTACTTAGAACAAACCTTTACTAAGTGTTGTATCGTCATAGACCCAGACCCTGTCCTTGTGCACAGTGAGTAAATGATCTTCAAGTTTTTGCTTTCTCCGATCCTCGAAATCACAGTGGAGACATCTGCATCAGGCAGGGATCAAGTTGAGAGGAAAAAGAAAAATCTGGAAAGTTTTGTTTAAAGGATAAGTATGCGTGACAGATTCGTGAGCAGGCCTTTTACACGAGAGACATGATATCAGAAAGGGCTCATTTTATAGATGACTCGCAAATGATAATTAATTACAATTAGATTCTTATTTTAAAGGGAGTGTTCGCGAAAAGTGAAAGAGGGATACGCTTACATCGAAAAATAAGCGCTTTTGATCGCTACTAATCTAACTTCTATCTGTTGCGTCTATAAGGAGAAAATTGTTAAAATCGACTCATACCGAAGAACGTAGCGCCCATACAAATTCAGAAAGTTGCAACATTCAACTCGGATCGTAAAAAAATCAATTTAATTCCAGACAAATCATTCAGATATTACAAACAATATTCATCGATTATTTTTGGACGCATTCGTTTAAAGTTGATATTTCATATTTTTTATTTTTTATTATCAGAGCGGAGCTGAAAACTTTTGAATTGGATCTTCTTAATCCTGTTTTGTTAATTAATATAGAGATTAATAACAAGAGGAGAGCAAGCATTATTAAATCTGGAGATTGAGAAAAAGAGTGGATCAAGCATTAATCCCGATATCCACCATTCAAAAGTTCCCAGCTCTGAAAACTTAAGAATGGAATATCCCCGATCTGTTAATTAATCTGGAGATTAATAACATGAGGAGAACAAGCATTATTTAATCTCGAGATTAAGAAAAAGAGTGGATCAAGCCTTAATCCCGATATCCACCATTCAAAAGTTCCCAGCTCTGATAGTTCTTTTTAATACATTCATTCCTGTTTCGAGGATTTTTGACAATGAAGATGACATTTTTATATTTTCCAAGAATGTTCGAAAATTAGCGAAATGTTATTTAATAAAAACATTATCAGAAAATATTATGAAATACTAACTATATAAAAATGCGTCGCAAAAATAATCGATGAATATTGTTTGTAATGTGGAAGACGATGTTTCGACCTCCAAAACAGAGTTCCACAACAGAAGAAGAACGCGGTATTCTCATTAGTCTCGTGTGACGGCAATCCAGTTAAAGCTTGGGGTTCAAGAATAATCCCCCTACAGTTTGGAAACCACCGGTTTCAGTTTTCTTTCCTCCTCGCTGCTGTAGACCGCCCTATCTTAGGAGCGGATTTTCTTGCCGAGTTCGATCTGTTAGTGGACCCCGCCAAACGTCAAGTCCTCCAACGTTCCGATTTGACTCCACTTGCTCCTCCAGTGATCTCAACCGCCGATCCCGCCGTTTCATCAGTTTTTAAACTTGCTCCAGATATTTCCTCCTTGCTTAACGAATTCCCTGATGCTTGGAAACCTCGTCAACCTGGTCAGCTACCAGGGCATCAAGTGAAACATGTGATAGAGACGGAGGGTCAGCCATTATATGCCCGCCCCCGCCGTTTAGACCAAGTGAAGTTAGCAGCTGCTAAAGCGGAGTTTCAGAAGATGGAAGCAGCTGGAATCATTCGACGCTCTGATAGCCCGTGGGCTTCTCCACTTCATATGGTTACTAAACCGGACGGGTCTTGGCGCCCTTGCGGCGATTACCGCCGATTGAATAACGTCACAAGACCAGACCGTTACCCGCTACCAAACATTCGTGATTTTACGAGCAATTTGCGAGGATGTACAGTGTTCTCCAAGTTAGACTTAGTGAAAGGTTATCATCAAGTTCCAATGGACCCTCAGGATGTCTGCAAGACCGCCATTGTGACACCTTTTGGTTTATTCGAGTTTTTATCCATGCCTTTTGGATTAAAGAACGCAGCTCAAACCTTTCAACGCCTCATGGACCGGATTTTTAGAGGACTTCCTTTTGTTTTTGTCTACCTGGATGATGTGTTAGTGGCCAGTACAAACAGGAGGTCTCACCTAAAACATCTTTGTGTTGTTCTTGACCTCCTTTGTCAGAATGGTCTAGTTTTGAACCTGGAGAAATGCAGCTTTGGACAGGAGGAGGCCACAAGATCAGTTCTGCAGGAATTATTCCTCTCTGCAAGCATGTGGACGCTCTTCTCCTCCAACCCCAACCACAGGATGTCCGTGGTCTCCAACGATTTCTTGGAATGATTAACTTCTACCGCCGTTTCCTCCCTGGTGTAGCACAAACTCTCCGCCCTCTAACAGATGCTCTAGCTGGTAATCCTCGTACTTTAAACTGGTCTACTGAGATGCAAACTGCTTTTGAGACAGCAAAATCCGCCCTTGCCTCCGCCGTCTCACTAGTTCATCCTTCTCCCTCTGCTGAGGTGTCTCTGGTTACAGATGCTTCCGCCACGCAAGTTGGAGCGGTTTTGCAACAGCGAGAAGCAAGAAATTGGCGTCCTCTGTCCTTTTTCTCAGCCAAACTCTCTACCACACAGCAACGCTACTCCGCCTTTGACAGGGAACTGCTAGCAGTATTTTTGGCTCTCCGCCATTATCGTTTCGAGCTGGAAGGGCGGAGGTTCCATGTCCTGACAGATCACCTCCCTCTGGTTTCAGCTCTTTCTCGAGTGTCTCCACCGTGGTCAGCTCGTCAACAGCGCCAGTTAGCCTACATATCTGAATTTACTAACGATATCCGCCATACTCCAGGAGCTGCCAATGTTGTTGCCGATAACCTGTCACGCCCCTCTCCTTTCTCCGCCTTCTATCCCTTCTCCGCCCCTTCTCTTTTCTCCGCCTTCTATCACTTCTCCAAAGTTCCTTCCGCCCCCTGGTGGTAAGGTGTCGGAGGTGTCTGAGGTGTCGGAGGTGTCGGAGGTGTCGGAAGTGTCGGGGTGTCGGAGGTGTCGGAGGTGACTGTGATGTCCTCTACACCATCTCCTTTTCCAACCTCCGCCATAGGAATAGATTTCAAGATTTTAGCCCAGGAACAGAAATCTTGTCTTGATATTCTCCGCCTCAAGAAGTCTCCAACTCTCCGCCTTGTGACAGTGACAATAGAAAATAGTGAATTAATTTGTGATGCACGAACCAACGTTCTCCGACCCCTGGTTCCATCCTGTCAAAGGTTTAAGGTTTTCTCCGCCTTGCATAGTCTATCACACCCTGGAATACAAGGCTCTAGGCGTCTAATATCTTCAAGATTTGTCTGGCGAGGTTTAGCAAATGATGTTCGTGATTATTGTCGGGCCTGCCTACACTGTCAACGAGCTAAGGTTCTCCGACATGTTCGTCTACACCCTGAGAAGATTGAGGTTCCGTTCCGTAGATTTTCACATGTTCACGTGGACCTGGTTGGACCCCTTCCCTCGTCACATGGTTTCACGTATCTTTTGACCTGTCTAGATAGATCCACAAGATGGCCGGAAGTTATTCCTTTGGCGGGAATTTCTGCCTCAGCCATGTTCCATGGTTGGATTTCTCGTTTCGGTGTTCCTGCAATCATCACTAGTGATCGAGGTACACAGTTCACGTCCTCTTTATGGTCAGCCATCTGTTCCATGTTAAACATCAAACACAAAACTACAACAGCTTTTCATCAACAGTCAAACGGAATGGTGGAAAGATTCCACAGACAATTGAAAAACTCTCTACGAGCTCGTTTGGCCTCCTCAGACTGGTTCGATCACTTGCCTTGGGTTTTGCTGGGTTTGAGAGCTGTCCCTAGAGAAGATTCTGCAACATCTGCCTCGGAAGCTGTATATGGATCAGAGTTAATTTTACCACATCATTTTCTGGCAGTTCAAGATCCTCCTTCTAAACAGTTCTATGATGATCTCAAGAGTTCCATGTCCGGATTCCATCCTGTTCCTGCTCGTCACAATACTCAGCCAACTTCAGACCTTCAGGAACATGTACCAGATCTCCTCTCGTCCTGTCCGATGGTTTTTGTTAGAAAGGATGGTCACATTCCTCCACTAGCTCCTCTCTACGCTGGACCTTACAAGGTATTATCTCGTTCCCGGAGAACCTTCCGTCTCCAGGTGGGTAATAGAGCAGAGATAGTTTCGATTCAAAGACTTAAACCTGCAGTCACAGCTGAGGAAGATAC